AACTTTGGCTATTTGGGGGTGATGGGTGCTTCAGTAGTGTTGTGTAACTACCCTAAAATGTAGTGGCTTTAAAAAAACATTTCATTTTGCTAAGGGATTTGGAAAGGGCTCAGCTGGTTGCTCATCTCTGATTTATGTGATATGAGCTAGAATGGCTGAAGCTGGAGGTTCAACTTCTAAAATGGCTTCTCCACCCACATGTCTGAAGCCTTGGTACTCACTGGCCTCGCTCTGTCTCCATATTGTGTCTAATCCTCCAGGAACTCTCCATGTGGCTTGTAAATCTCAGTATGGTGGTCTCAGGAGAGTTGCACTGTTTACATAGTGGCTGGCTTCTGAGAGGCAGGAAGTGCTCCACAAAAGGGCTTCCTGCAGAACTGGCACAGTGTTACCATATTTTACTGGTCAAAGTAGTCACAGAGCCCACACAAATTCAAGAGGGTAGAGAAACAGACTCCATGTCTTGATGAAAGAGTGTCAAGGTCACACTGCAGGAACACAGGTAGGATGGGAGATGCTACTGCAGCCATGTTTGGAAAATACACTGCCACAAATAGAGTGCGGGCAATTTTAGGTTTCTTTATTGTACCTTTCTGCATGCGTTATTTTTATAATCAGAAAAAAAATTATTAAAAGAAATATCCTGCACAACAATGCAGGCAACCATTAGTGCAAGAGAAGTTTCAGTTAGCTGAACCTTTCTGTGCCCCCTGGGTTCATTTACTTTCAATGCTAGTGGCTATTTCTAGGTGATCAATCAGGAAGAAGGTAGGAAAGGAGCTGTTACATCATTAAGCCACTCCCCAAATTCTGGGCATTCTGATTTTCTGGCTTTCCTGAAGTCATTTCACATAAAGGTTTCTTCTCGATGCCACTTTTTGTCTCTTTGAAGTGATCAAATTCCTTTTTGCCATGACCACAATGATATAAAGTCTTCAACACTGATTTCTATAAACAAATATTCATTGAGAATCATGTATAAGGCACTATCCAAGAGTCGACTAAGTTAGTGTGATACTTATTAAGTACCTACTCTAAGTAAAATAGAATACTTAAGCCAGGAATAATAAAGTATACAGAAACTAGATGATTTACTGCCTTCAAGATATTTATATTCATAGGCAGAAATATAAGAAAATAATAAACATAACATGCAAAGCAAAAGGAAATAAACTCTAAAACAGATGTGTAAGCCAGAGGAATTTGAAGAGAATGGCTTTGCGGAAAAGATAGCATTTGAACTGAGTTTAAAAAGAAAAACATGGTTTTGTTTGACAAGAGAGGACTAAGGGATTCCAGGCTGAAAAAATAGCAAAGATTTAAAGGTGTGAAAATGTTGACCTGTTTTTAGGAAGGCTGAGTAGAAAAACAGGGCTGGTAGAGCTGGGATGGGATGGTGCGTCACCTCAAGTGAGGACCTCGGGGCACCGTTGTTCCTGCCCGAAACACTTTACAGCAAGGCCTGCTTCTGAGGTGACCGGCCAGTGTCTGCTCCCTCCTCCACTCCAGTTCTCACAGAAATAGGAGCCCTTCATCAGAGACTGGACCTGAACACACACCTGGCCTGGAAGTTGCAGGAGTTGGAGGAGTTTGCTGAAGATGGAGCAGGTGCAGTCTCCTTTACTGCCTCACGACAATGAGGTCTATATGCAGGTGACTAAAAAGAGCAGTTCTGGGCCTTTTAGGATTCGTGCTGTGGCTATCACATGGACTAACAGAGTTCTCCCCTCATTAACATGGGCTATTCCTTTTGGTATTTCTGCCTCATTATTTAGCAACCTTTTGATTAATGTATTTCAGTCAAGATTATTATATATTGCGGGCTGAGAGGGCCAGCTGCCTTTGTTCTTTAATACGCTTCACCTTCACTCTTCATTCATATCTGTGCTACTACTGCTTGTCACAATGGCATCTATTGTGGTTGTCTTGGAAAGCCTAATTGATTTGACAAACTATCTTTATTTTGTGGTTTCTATTTGGTCTGTATTATCAATGATAGGAATACTAAAACTGAGATATCAGGACCCAATCTACCTTGACCTTATAAGGTAAAAGTGAGTTCTCGTAAATTTTTCTGTGTGAAATAAAATGTATTGAGTATAAGGAAAAAAAAGAAAGAAAGAAAAAGAAAAAGAGGGTTGGAGCCAGATAGTGAATATCCTGATTGCCAAGCTAAGGAATATGGGTCCCCTCTATAGGCAACTGTCCCCTGAAGATTTTGGGAGGGTCAAGTACTATACCAGCTTGCATTTTTGGTCTGCATATTGGCAGTAGTATATACAATGGTTCAGAGAGGGACACCAAGGTAGGGAGACCAGTTATGAGGCTATAAACTACAATATGAATGACAAAGGGAGGTGGGCCTTAATGAGGGCAGAGGGAAAGAGAGGGGGTGATGGTGGTGATGCATGGACCTGGAAGTGACCGAGTTTATTGGGAAGGGGAGGAGAGTTAAAATACTTCAAGGTTTCTAGCCTGAAAAACTAAAATTAAGACAAGGAGCACTGTTTGATTTTTGAGAAGCTGTTTGAGATGCCCAGTGGAGGCATTCAGGAGGCAGCTGGGGACGGTACTAAGGAGAGGCCAAGCTCACAGGTTTGTCACTGTACCTGGGGGAGTGAAAGAATCCATGCAAGGAGAGAAAAGGGAGTGGGCAGAAGGCAGGAAAATTCCTCCTGAAGGGGGCAAGCAGGTTGAGAGAGGTAGGGGGACACCCAAGAAATACAAGACTGAACTGAAAGGAGGGGAAATTAAGTGTCCCTTGGACAGTAAATCCAGGGCATCAGTAAAAGTGGTTGTTTCCATCAGTTTTATCCAACAGAACTTCCTGTAATGATGGGAATGTCCTATATCTGTGCTGTTCAATACGGTAGCTATAGGCTGCATGTGGCTGGCTACTGAGCACTTGAAATGTGATGAGAGAAAATAAATTTTTAACCTTAAAGTGAAACCCCTGTGTTTTCAAGATAGTAGTTTACAAAAAATGCTTTATATATGATTTAATATATGATTTAATATATGATTTCCATTCATGGTCAGCAAAACCAGTACCAAATAGTTTAAAAGCTTTCTTGGCTGCATTCAACACAATATATTGAGAAACGCTAGATTGAGTACCCTTTTGAATGGGTACTTAATTCTCTATGAGTTCATCTGAATGAACCGGCTGAAAGGGGAATTATATTATTTGAATTGTGGAGAACCCTCAATAAACTGTTCATGTGAAATATATTTACCGCCAACTGCCCATCTCATCATAACCATTCACCCTTCCCACCCCCCACCCTCTTATTGGCAGCACAAGAGCTTTATTTGCTGCCATGCCCGAGAACACAGGCTTTAGGGATGGGGCCCAGCACAGATAATCTAGGCATATTGGGACCCATGCCCCTGGAAACCAACCAGCTGCTACGGCCTTTCTCAGATGTAACTCCATCGCTGTATATTCAGATCCAGGCTCCAGTGTTCCAAAGTCATTCAAAGACATCTTGCTCCCTTCCCAAAGAACTAGTTTATACACCAAGAGTTTTACAAAATTCAAAATAATTTTATTCACTTTTTCAGATTTTTGCTTCCACAAGGTGTTCAGCAAACATGCTAAGGCGACAGAATGTCTAGTTGGTCACGACATGCAACGCTGACCATTCCACTGATGACAGCAGCGACCACGCCCACCTGAGCTACTGGCCCCACAGCACAAAGGGAATTTGCGGGAACACGCCGAACCACACAGCAATCAGCAACCTGAGGTAGGTCTCTTTACAGTACAAAAGACTTCTACACCAGTGTTAGACACTGATTAGCAAGAGCTGCTTAAAGTCGCAGACTTTGGAGAGAGAGAGAGAGACTGTGCGACAACTGCAGTGAGAAAGGAAAACAGACCCACAAAATCCTGAACCCTGTCACTGAACTGTGGAGGTGTGGGACCAGGCAAATGAAAAAGTACCACTGAAAAAAGCAGCAGTTGGCTCCAGGGTTCGGAACCAACAGGTCCAGGAGCCGGATAGCTCTGTGCAGTGGCCAGCGTCAGGAACCTGAGGCAGTGGGGCACTCGGACTGGGTTCTTGTTAAGAAACAACAGCAAAAAGAGGAAGGCAGGAAAGAAACTCCCCTTTGCCGAGGAATGTTTCTGATTCTCGTTCCTGACAGAGGAAATGAAAAAGCGTCTGGGGCTTTGCCCCACTGCCCTCCTGACACAAACAGGGAAGTGACACCAGGACAGAAAGCAGGAGCCCTGAGAATTCACGGCGCTCTGCATGGCCTCCAATGGCCCCCTCTCCTACTCCACCTTGCCCCGGAGTGGTTGTGGGGAGGTGACAGAGGGGGCCGATGGAGGGGCCCACTATTGCCACACATCTTCGTTTTGGACACCCAGAAAACCTGGCACCGTGAAACAACCATCTAGTAAAGAACAATATGCTACCCCTTCCTATAGTCTAATAGCAAAACCAGACCTCTAGTACAGCAAACTGTACAAAAATGATAGAAAGGAATTTGCACTGTTATTAGCACAGTGCTTATTTTAATATAAAATAAACGGCTTACATTTTCACTGTAAATATAGGCTATGTACAGAATTATATATAGATATAGCTACACGTATAAAGCTTCATTATAGGCCTCTGATACATTTATAATAACGGTTCCCTGAACCTTTTAGAGTGCAATTAAGAACAAAAACTAAATTCTGTTTACATGAATATGGAATAAATACAATAATCAAAATATGACTCTCCCTAAAAGTGAAACACACAAGCCAATCCTGAACTGCTGTGCGAAAGATAAAATCGGGAAAGGCAAGGTTTCGGCAGGACAGGAAGAGCGGCCCGCCCCAGCAGGGAATGGCAATGCTCCGAAGGAAAGACGCCGACAGCAAGAAGAGTTAGCCCTTGACAGCTATCTTGTTCTCTGTAGCAGCAAACATGGCATAGAACCGGGAGCTGTCATTGGACAGAAGGACCGATGGGGTGTCAAACTCCACCACCTGCAAAGAAAGGAAACGCCATCAGCATGTGACTCGGGGACACTCAGGGTGACTTAGAGGAATCCACTGCTCAGGAAGGGGCCCAAAAAGCCCCCGAGGATGAAATCAGGGTGACAATTCTGCTAGCCCTGCCATGCCCAAATGGTTTGTTTTTTTTTTTTAACTAACCAGGGTAAAAGGGAAAGGTGCTACAGAAAAACCTCCAGGCTACCTCCACATAATCCTTTCAGCCTTGGATATGAGGGAATTAATCAACAAGATACTATAAGCTGCAGGGGAAAAAACTGCAGCTCAAGCCAAAAGCATAGCAGGCAAATGTCATCTTGTTGTGCAAGCTGATCTAAACCTACAGATGGAAAAGGAACAGCTCAGAATACCAGTTGGCAGGAAAAAAAAAAAGGAAGTGAGTAAGGGATGGACTCAGTCAATTATCTATTCCTAGGATGAACTTCTATGCAGTCACTGAAAATCATATTGCAGGAGAAAAGTGAACGATATGCTGGCAGAACCTGCCTCCCATGATGGTGGCTGACAACGTCACATACTTTCCCAGCCTCCCTTGCTGCCAAGGTTGTGTCCCATGCCTTTGCCCTGCAAGGGGATGGAATAAATACAATAATCAAAAGGCGATCACTGCAAGATTGTCTATAGCTAACAGCACCTGCAAGGAAAGAGAGGGAAATGAAGAAGGCTAGGCTGGAACAGACTGCAGGAAAGCTGGGAATAGCAGGATATGAAGTTCGGCACCACATGTTTGTAAAAAGCAAATAATACATGGTGGGGTGGCTAGTCTTAATACACCTGGGGCAATTCTTGTGTAACCTGGGGCAATTCTTGTGTATGTGAACGAATTAATAAGTATACATGCTCTCTGACCTAAGTCAAAGTGTCACTGTTTACAAGCAACATGAGAACCCAAGAGTGACTCTGAATCAGTCCCTTGATTGGGAGGGCTGTAATCCTGCCAACAGCAAGCAGACTAGAGTCGCTATGGTTGCTCATCTAATGCTCAGAACCATGCTAAGATGCCAATCAGCCCAGTTCTGCCAGGGGCCACTTTTCCTCCTAGACAAGGCCCCAGACAGAGCCCAGTCCCTCGGGGCTCAGTACCTGTCCCTGGGCCAGCACCATAATCCTATCAGAGCCTAGGACTGTATGTAGGCGATGGGCAATCGTCAGCATAGTGCAGTTGGCAAATGCTTCTCTGACGGTCTCTTGAATCAGTAAGTCTGTCTCCGAGTCCATGGCAGCTGTGGCTTCATCTAGAATCAAAACCTGCCAGGGAAAAAAGGAAAAGAGGGGGAAAAAAAAGAGAAAAAGAGGGATCTAACCAATTCCTTAAGCATTCTGATTAATTTAGGCTTTACTAAAACGTATTTTAGTATTTGAATTTTACACCATATATTGTTTTTTTCTGAGTAGGTTATTACACACATACGAAAAACTACTGTTTTGCTTAGAATTGATATAACGTGAAACCCATGTTTGCCTTGATTTCTATAAATAAAAGGATATGCATGTAATACTCATCTAACAAAATGCTCACCCTATTTGCTCTAACTCTGAACAGTATGATAAGCTCATTGGCCAGAAACAAAAGTTGCCCTTGGAAACTAAAGGCTCAGGGAAGTTAAAAACAAAAAACACCCATATATCCAAATTGTGTCAGGGTTAATCCAGAAACATCTCTGGGCATTCTCTTAAAAAGCGCCACTGGGCTCAGAGCCAGGAATGCCTTTAGACCTCAGGCCACAGGTGGGCCGTTCTTCCACCTTCCCATTCTTCTCTGCGGCTCCCCTGCCCCAGCACCCACCCAGCTACCTTACCTTACAGTGACGGAGCAAGACTCTTGCTATGCATAAGAGCTGGCGCTCCCCCACCGAGAAGTTCTCCCCGTTCTCCAGCACTTCAGATTCAAGTTTCAGAGGTAGCTGAGCAATCTAGGGAGAAAGGAAAGTAGAAATTAGAAGGATAAAAAAAGTCAATTTTGAAAAAAGATCCATTAAGTTTTGTCAAAAATCCAGTAGCTAAGGTCAATTATTCTGAAACAGATGAAGGAATTACTAGCCAAGAACCTGGCCCACCTGGAAAGAAGGTACAGGTATGATGATCATGGGTACCAGGAACACATTTTCTAGGACAGTCCCTGTTTCAAATATACTATTCTGTTGGCCTCATACCGTCAAAATGTCCTGAAAATTCCAATATTTTCATGTTCCTAAATCCTGGCAGATAGTGGCCCTAGTTTTTGGGCCACTGAAAATATGGCCATGGAACAGGAGATGGGGTAAACAAAACTGTCTTTCTAAAGTCTAAAGCTTGACAGGCCCGTGGCTGTCAAACTTCTCGTTTTGTAAGCTATAGAACCTATTTTTAAAATGCAATTGTTTGAGGAAGCCCATTCTAAAAGAAGTAAAAGTAGGGGACCCTGAGCTTGACTAAACCCAGGGGCATGAGAGACCCTCCTCCAGGCGAGGGGTACTGATCTGTAGACTGGCCCCTGGAGGGCATCTGCTGAGCTCCCCTAAGAGGTCTATGAATCCAGATGCATACTGCATGTTTTCTGCAGACTAAATCGGCAATATATCTTTTGCACATAGATAGCTGCTTCAAAAGCATGTTTTACTATTATGTTTAATAAAATAGAAATTAATTTAAAAACATTAGTGAATCCTGAGTGGTTGTCATTTACATCTTCTCAATCAATGAATAGTAAAAAATTTGATCATGGGCTTGTAAGAAAGGTGAGGGTCAGGAAATATCAACTTTTATGCCCTTTCTGAAATGCCTGGGAAACCCTGCTCTAAAAGGCTCGTCCACAGACATCTAGAAGTAGAGGGTCATGCCAGGATGGACAGAGGCAGCCTGGGCAGGCTTATGAGTGACCATAGCATCACTGCATTTCCACCCTTGAAATCCCAGCAAGGCTTGCCCTCAGTTCTTTCCTTACACATTCTTTTTTTTTTTTTTTTTTTTACTTATTTTTATTTGCCGAAAGTAAGAAGAGGTCCCAGATTTTTAAACGCCTCAGATCCCAGAATAGCTTCCTCCATCCAGGTTTCAGGGCCGTGAAGTAGCCATTGGCCTAAATAGGAAAATTTCACCAAAAGGGGAGGATTGTATTTTTTCCCTTAACATACATTTTTGCTTTAAGGTTGTCAAAATGATGCTATCTAAGAGGAGTGGTTTAAATACAAGCAGAAGCTGATATGGATTAACTCTCACAGGATGATCTTTTTTGTTCTCTAAGAAGCCTTGAACTTTTGCATCTTATTTCTCTTCAAGTGTGATGGCAGTAAGATTTCTCAGCTTACAGCCACAGGGTAGGAGAAATAAGGAGTAACATGGCATGGGCATCCTGATATTTCTACAGTCTTGTACATGAAGTCTTTATATGTACAAACATCCTGGGACTGAGCATATTTGGGGAGAAACAGCTTGCCATTGATAATCCGTGTCATACAATACCCAGCACAGACGGTGGTGTTGATGGTTAGGCAATAAGCATATTCTTTCCTTTTGACGTGTAACATATTCTCAGCTGAAATACAAAGGGACACATTGCCTGCCCACATGCAAAGCCAAAAAGCATGGACATCAGGAAGACAGCATTCATGCCCATGGTATACGAGCTCACGTAGCAAAGCTCCTCCTTGCACTTAGCGCCACTGGGCAGTGAAACAGCAAGCTCGCTGATGGACTCACTGGTTCTGAGCTCCAGCGCTGGGGCAGGAGCCCGAAAGGCACCAGGGGTACACAGAGAGAAACTGAACCATTTGGCCTCAGGGCGCGGGCTGGAGAGGCAGCCCTCTCCCAGACAGGGCAGAAGCCATTGCTCTCTTTGCCGACAGCCCTCCTCCCCCGCGTGTCGACACAGGCGACCGCCATATCTGAGTCTCCATCAACCTCTACTTACACATTCTTTCATGTGCGTCCTCTCCAGGGCATCCCAAATCTGGTCTTCAGTGTACTGGTTGAAGGGATCCAAATTTGATCTAGGGAGAAACATAATAGCAATTTCTCAGTGATCAACATGTGAGCGACCATCCTGCAAAGGCTGTCTGAGGTAAAAGTTTAAACACACGGGAAAAGAAGGGCTCAACCCCCGTTCAGTTCACAGATGACTCCTTCCCCAACCAGCCAGGGTGGAAGCGGAGATGGCAATGCTAATGGCAGCACTGCCTCTGAGAACAGGCAGGGACCCCCTTTCTTCTTTATAAGGCTTTGTTTTATTTTAACTTTTATAACAGTTATATAGAAAAAATTAAGAAATATAGATATGCCAAACACAAAACAAAAACCAATACATGTTTTAATCACCTCTAATCAGACCCCTAAAAACACACTTAGCATTTTGGCATATATAGTTCTAGATTTTTTTTCCTATGCATATACATATTAAAATATATCTCTATGTACAAACTTAAAAAAAGTGCCCTCTTTCTTTATGATGCACCAGGGTGAGAACAGGGACCCGGTGACAGCTAGCTGACCAGGAAAAGGAGCAGATCCAGGAGAAAGGCAGAGGGAAATTAGAATAAAGGGCAAATCAAGAGGAAGGATTTCACTGGTTCAGAAAGGCAGCTTGGGGACGCTTCTTGCTTACTGTCTGTCCCCACAGTATCTGCTACATGGAAATCAAGGGTACCAAAAGAATAGGACTAGAAATTTCTGGAAATGTTACATTACAGCTGGCAGAAAATAAAACTTACATGATTTCCTAAGTTTGCACAGCTGAGCCCAAATAGCACTCTGAGCTCCAGAACTAAAAACCCAGGGCATTAGCACACCAAGGACTGAGTTTGTTCATCAAGTGGCAGTATGTCTATGGAGCTGACAACAAATGGCCCAAATCCCTCAAAAGCTGTGCTTCTATGATGTTCTACAAACCCCAGCTGCCCGTGCCAGCAGGTCAGCTCTTTACCATGAACTCTAGAAGCTCCTGACTCACAGACCCATGTGAAGTACTGTGCACTTTTGAAACGAACACTGAGGCATCTTGGCGGCAGCGTATTCAAGGGAAGTCTGAAGTTTAACATGCCTTATTTCCAAACTTTCTCCCAAATGATGATTACAAAAATTAAGAAAAATACAGTTCTTTTGTCCTGAGCCAAAAATTATAAGGTCAATTTTATTCTCAGAGGTGTTCCTGTGGCATCTAAAAATAGAGATCTAGGGCCGGCCGAGTGGTGCGTTGGTTAAGAGCTGGCTTGGGACGCCAGCTCTGAGCAGCAGGGCCCGGTTCGGATCCCACATGAGAGTCAGTGACGCTGCGCCCTCTACAGCTAAGATGGTGAACAACAGCTCAACCTGGATCTGGGCTGCCATGAGTCGCTGCCCACGGCATAGGCTGCTGGCGTGGGCTCTTTGTGAGCTGCCATGAGCCGCTGTGAGTGGCCGTCCAATGGCCGGCGAGGGACTGCCTCACCTGGGAAGAGCACAATGATAATATCAACATGGGCCAGTGAAGTGACGTCCTCCACAACTAGACTGAAGGATAAAAGGACAGCGACTTGTCTGTTCCCCTTCCCCGATTCCCAATGCTGTTCCCCTCCCCCAAGTCTCCAATAACATCTTTAAAAATAAATAAATAAAAATAGAAATCTATAGGAAAGAAGAACAGATTTGGTGCTATCTCTCAATTTCTTAATTTTAGACCTGAATCTTCAATAAATTCTAATTCTCTTCTGATGTTGCTTATTTGACCTTGTTATCTCAGCACCCAAAGGGAATGGCTTATTATCAACAGATCCTGGTGATGCAGTCCAAATTCATTAGTGTTTTAAAGAAATGCCAAAACAAACACACCCAAGAGTGCTGACCCTACATGAATCCAGGTGAGAATTCAGTTACCTACGAAACTTTCCTGAATCAGGAAGTTCAAATGCCATTTTCAAAGAGAAGGGGTGGGCTTGGGGGGAGGACCTAGTCAAATAACTGCCCATAATTATTTGAAATTAAATTGGTACCGATTTATTTTTTTGGAGACTGCTAAAAATTAAAGAGGAAATGGTAACATTACTTTTAGAGTGATAAAAAAAAAAAAGTCCTATCTAGGTCAAGTATACGGTTAAAGCTGGTTTTATTTTGAAAGAGAGGCAATTTGAATTAAGAACAGACACAACTTATGGAAACCCATTGTTTTTAGGAGGTAAAAGCTTAAGGTAGGATGCAGTATAAGGAAAGATAATGGAATTAAATATATTCCCTTCTTAGTTACTATTTTAACAGGTCAAGAAGAATTTCATTTTTGGCTTGCTGACAGAGAGAGGCATCATTCCAGAGTAAGTACCAAAGGTGGGAGAAAATACTGGAAAATGGGAAAACACGAGTGGTAATCATGCCTGAAAACCATCCTTAGAACAGCAACTTTGTACTCAGGAGATGACAGCATGGAGTGGCGGGAAGATAAAGGATGATGGTGATGAGCCTGAAGACGGCTGCTACCATTTTCTGAATGCTCAGCATTTCCCCAGGCTCTGTGTTCATATAATCTGTATAAATTTATTCAATCCTCACAACAACAGGTCTTAATGATATCCTCATTTTTATGGACGAGAAAACTAACTTAGGAATGGTCACCCATTTGTTCGAAGTCACAGAGCAGAGATCTGAGCTCAAATCACCAGGCTGCAGGCCCCACTTCGTTAATGAGGTGCCTTACACAGGGGAGCGCCCCCTACCTCTGCAATGAGAAGCATGCGGCGTAGTGGGGAAAGCATTAGACTAGAGTTCATTCAATCTCAGTTCCAGATGGAGGCTCTAACAAGCCCACCTAGCCTCGAAATGAGGCCTGAAGCTCACTCAGGTCCTCACCTGACTGTGCCACTGAATAGCACTGGCTCCTGAGGAATGATGGAGAGTTTGCTTCGGAGGTCAGCAAGGCCAATATCGCTGATTCTCACGCCATCAATCTTGATGCAGCCTCCAGATAACTCCACCAGGCGGAAGAGCGCCATCCCTAGAGAGGACTTCCCTAATGAGTCAGAAAACATGCAGAAAAGCAGCTCATTAGCAAATTCTGTGAAGACAAAACTGGTTTATTCTCAGGGCAAAATCATCTATTTTTCCATTTCTAGTCCATCATTATTTCAAAGAATTAATTCAGATAATGTGTAAAATGATAGCCAGGAACAGAAAAAAAAAAAAAAAAGAACTTTACTGAGCTACCAAGCATATACATTTAAATCACACAGCTTCAACCTGAGAAGGAATGAGAAGGATCGTTAACACCTTCCTGAGAGTAAAATGGAAAAACGCCTCCTTTCACCTTAGGAATGGGTGCACAGCATTTAATGCTTCTCAGGTAAAATGAGGAGAACAGAGGTTTTACAGCAAGGTGCTAGTGGCAAACCAGTGGCCATGTCTTCTCTCTCTTCTGTTCCCCTAACGTAGCTGAGAGAGAAACAAGACAGGGCCTCCCACTGCCGCAGCAGCAACGGCTGGAATGGAAAAATTTCCAGGGTTAACACACAAGGGAAGAAGGCTTTGGCCTGAGTAAATGAGTGGCTGAGGATGACTGTACCACGACAGGGAACTAGAAAAGCAGGTTTGGGGGATAAAATAATGAGTTCTGTAGCATGGTGATAAACACAACAGCTTTATCTCAATTGAATCTTCACTTTAAGAGTGATATAAGTAATACAAGGAGATAACATCAATCTCTCATAATCTCACTGTTATGTTGGACACATTTTCTTTTAGATTTTTTCTCAGAGTTGAGATCATACCAGAGATACAATGTTTTAACTGCTTGTCCCACTTAACATTACATAACAAGCATTCAACCATATTATTAACTTTTCAAGACAAAATTTTGGTGGCTGCAATATATATTCCATCATGTGAATGTACGCTCACTTATCCAGACCTCTGACGCTGGGACACGTAGTTTATTTAAAACTTACTATAACAATGTTAGGGCGTTTTTCTCTGAAAGTGGAAAAGCTTGCTAAATCTATGACCTCAAGGTTAACAACTACATATTTTGGTATTGAATAAATGGCAAAGTAATAGTAATAATAATAATGTTATGGCGTACGTCAGTGCTCAAACTTTGCTTCTACCTTAGATCATCTCCTTGGGATAGATTCTCAGAACTGAAACTACTATGTCAAAAGATATAAACGTTTAAAAAGGACATTCTGTCTAGTGTCCCCCTGACCCCCCCAAAAAAGGTTGACATAGTCCTGTCTATCTACCTTTCTGCAATTCAGACCCATGGTTTCGATTTAGAACTCCAGGATTTTAGCTGTTAGACGACATTTCCTTGGCTGGATGCTGGGTGCCTACATCCTCCTGCTTCCCTGTTCTGAGACACCTCTCATGAGAGTTTCATGACTACATCCATTCAATGGTCACTGAGGGTACAAATATCCTGCTTTGCTCTAAGGTCTGTAGCCATATGTCTGCTGTTGGGGTTTGTCCCCTGGGCTGACCCCGGTCAAAGAACCTAATGGGGGCTGCAGCCCCTGCTGCAGTGGGTTGCCGTGGGCTACCATGTGTAGCCAGCAGCCAGCGTGAGCGGCCAGCAGCCGCAGTGAGCGGCCATCCAGAAGCTGGCAACTGATCTGCCTCACCCGGGAAGAGCGCAATGATGGTGCCAACTTGGGCCAGTGAAGCAACGTCCTCCACAACTAGACTGAAGAACGAAATGACAACAACTTGTCTGTTCCCCTTCCCCCAATTCCCCAGCTCTGTTCCCATGCCCCCAATTCCCCAATAAAAATCTTAAAAAAAAAAAAAGAACCTAATGGGAACCTGGAGAAACATCCACCTTCCTAAAGCAGGACTCCTCACCTCCATCTACCAGAAATGAGTTGGGAAACCCAAGTCCATATAGCAGGACAGCTCTTAATGAGGCCTTCCCCTTCTAGAAGTGACTGGCCTTATTCAGGATTGGGTGATCTGGTTAGTGGCCCCTTATCTGGATATAAGGAAGGGGAGGGAGATTCTCCCTCAGTGCTGAGGCCATGGTTTAAGATCCAAGCTAAGAAAGGAAGGGTGGTCAAATAAATAAGTCAAGTTGTTCCACTTAATAAAAGATGCCTAGGTTTGGAACACCTGGACTGGAAGACTTCATAGTTCTCTGAATCTAGACTACCTTTTCACTGATAGAATATGCTGGTAAAAAAGGCGACGAAGTCCTCACAGCCCCTGGCAGGGCCAGGGTCTGTGAGCCTTGGAAGAAGCTTATTAGGAGCAGAGTTTAGACTTTGTAATTATTTTAGTTTTCTTATTTATTTCTTTTCTGTCACTACTTATGGTTTAGTAAAGTCTTGGTGAAAATTTTGGTCTGTCTTACCCGTGGGAAAGGGAAACCACAGAAAGAGACACCAGTCAGAGCTTTCAGGAAAGCGGGGTACCCCTGGGGGGCCAGTGTAGCACAGGAAATCGGAGGGAGAGAGCAAAGTAAGAGTCTTGAGGACAGTCACCCTCCTTGGCTGAGCACTCTCTTCCCAGTGCCAAAACACGAGAGCCACTATCTTGTTTTCACATGAAATAATTCCTCAAACAGAGAGCAGGAAATGACTTTCTTGTCTTCCTGGCAGGTTCTTTAAAGTAAATTGGCCAGGAAAGATAAAAGGCTTTTTTTTTTTTTTTTTAATGGCAAGAAAAAAAGCTAGAAGAGTTTTGATGAAAAGGGAGCCTGGAGCCCAGAAAAGAGAGAAAGAAAGAAATTACTGAAGTCTTGACCCCAGAAATCTAAAGAGAATATACAATATATTGAGTTGTCGGAAAAGTCATGACGTATTTTTTGTTTTTCGTTGCAAAAATGTGTCATGACTTTTCCAACAACCCAATACTTCCAAGAGTGAGTGAAGTAAAACGCCTAAAACAAAGGCCTATTCTCCAGTTCTCTGCAACTGATATCAGATCAAGACAATACTTTCTGTCTTCAAAGGAACATAGGTTCCTTATTTAGAGCTGTGTTAGCTTCGAATAAAGGTGAGGCTACACTGGCAATAACATATCAGAAACTTTAAATATTTTGACTTCATAGAAATAAGGATGTCCAGGGCCGGCCGAGTGGCGTGTTGTTTAAGAGCTGGCTTGGGATGCCAGATCCCACATATGAGGGCCAGTGACACTGCCCTCTACAGCTAAGATGCTGAACAACAGCTCAACCTGGAGCTGGGCGAGAGCGACGGCATAGGCTGCAGCCCCTGCTGCAGTGGGTTGCCATGGGCCAACATGTAGCCAGCAGCCAGCGTGAGCGGCCAGCAGTCGCCATGAGCGGCCATCCAGAAGCTGGCGACCGATCTGCCTCGCCCGGGAAGAGCGCAATGACGGTGCCAACTTGGGCCAGTGAAGCGATGTCCTCCACAACTGGACTGAAGAACAAAAGGGCAGCAACTTGTCTGTTTCCCTTCCCCTGATTCCCCAGTGCTGTTCCCATCCCCCAATTCCCCAATAAAAATCTTTTAAAAAGAAAGAAATAAGGATGTCCATTGCAGTGCTCTTCATAACAGTAAAACTGACAGCAACCCCAGTGCCCTACAATTGGAGCTTATTAAATATAAATTTGGTGCATCCATAAAATAGAATTTTATATCATGCTGCATAGAAATCATATTAGAGAATATGAACCGACATGGAAAATACCTCATGGTTTTAAAAGTAGGCCTTGAAACAGTATGTGTATAAAATGATCTCATTTTTGTAAATGTATCTGGTGACAGAAAACACCTGACAAGATAGCCACCAAAATGTTAAGAGTAATTATCTCTGGGTAGTGGAATTATGGGTGCATTTCCCCTTTGTACTTTGACATGTTCCATGTGTTCTGCACTGAGAATGTATACTTTTATGATTAGAAAAAGCACTAACTGTTATCAAACCAGGGCTGAAAATAAACCTAGAAACCTGGTTTCACTGAGACCTGAGACACTAATCACTCATCTACAGGGACCTAGTTTGAAGGGATGACAGTGACAGTCAATAAACAGCCAATCATGGGCCCCAAGCTTAAATCCAATAGGTTCACATGTTTCTCCAGAGGCCTTGGAACATCCTTACCTGACCCTGTCCGGCCCACAATGCCGATCTTCTCCTTGGGTTTGATGGTGAAGGACACTTTCTTCAGGACCAGAGGCAGATTTTCTTGGTACCTCATCTCCGCATTCTCAAAGGTCACCTCTCCTTCCTGGGGCCAGTCAGAGGAGGGAGCCTTGTTCTTAATTCTGGCAGGTGCTTCCAAAGAGAGAGTCTGGGGAGACGAAGTGGCTGGTTCAGGCTGACCACAGATTCTGGGGGCTTTGTCATAGAGTAGAAAAACCAGAACCACAGGGCCACCCAGAAGTAGCTGCCGCCCTGGCCCCTTGCTGGGAAAGATTCCACTGGCGGTAAATGTTTATCACCATTAAGTTAGACGGAGACAGAGTACAGCGGCTGCTAGGTTTACACGTAGCAGTTTACAATGGCTACTAAGCAGCAGCTTCGGGAGGTTAGCGACTTTCAAACTACCTTCAGTCTTGAGAAATTCCTCCACAAAACTGCCTTGGAGGCCAAGGGTGGGACGCGAACCCTTCTACCTTTCTTCAACCCAGCAGTTTTTACTGGAAATCTTTGAAAATATTCCACTCAAAACAGGATTGCACCATTTGAAAATCATTGGCCTAAACCCAAAGGAAGACAACTAACATTTATTGAATATTTAATGAGATCCTCGCATTCTGACGTATCTCTCTCAGTCAATCCAGAAGACATGGACTCAAATCCCAGTTCTCCAACTAATAGCTGTGTGAACTGGATATATCCCTTCTTCATTCTAGGTCTTGGGTTTCTCATCTGCAAATGGTGGGGACTGGAACAAATAATCTTTGAAATCATTCCAGCTTTAAAATTCTGCATTTAATATAACTGCTTGTAATTTTTGTTATCAACATTCGCACCTCGCAATATTTTAAAACTCTGGCAACTAGTCACGGGGCTTACAGCCTTATAGGGAAGAAAGGTCCAAAGACTACAGGGTTCTGACGGGTGGAGACTGACATCCAAAACTCCAAGCTGGAAGGACTCGTGTTGGGACATGCATCCATTTTGGGGACTGGCAGTGGGGAGCCAGTTTGCAGAAATGTGACTGGTGTGTGCAGGGTCCACTCTGTACCACGGCTGACCACTCCCCTGACCTCTCTAGCAAGAGACTCTCACCAACAGCGATATTAAATCAAACACTACACATCTGTATATACACCCACCTATCATCCACAGACCAGAGCACTGGGCAAAGAGACTGAGGTACAAACATAAAGAACAGCTATTGGTAGATATATTCGATCACTATCTGCCATTTCTCAGAATAATCATTTGTAAGTTTGAGAAATATCCTATGATTAATGAGATTCATTGCCAAAACAAATCAGCAAAGCATGTCTCTGCTAGAAAATGCAGTTTACATAATATGCTAGTTCTCAACTGAAAGGGTAGTTTTTCAACACTATGCTTGTCAGTCAATGATTTGGAACTTGGAATCTATTCTTCCCATGTAAACAATGACACAAATGCTGATTAAGTCCCTGGGCATTTCACAAAATAGATAACTTCTGAGAACTGAGTTAAATTTGAGAATCCTAACTATTCATGACTCTGATTCTGTCTATAAAAAGCTGCTTTCAGAGTTCCAGCTAGGACGGTAGCAAAACGTTTCCCCATGGCACAGACTGCAGGGGTGATGGGGGAAGGTGGGAAGAGCTTGGTAACTAAATGAACTCGTTTTTAAACTGTAAATGGGGTTAGAATTAGCTATTGAGCTCTTAAAACTTCAGAAGCCTGGATCCCACCCTACACCTACTGCTTCAGAATCTCCGGAGAGAGACCCATGTTAGTCTTTGCGTAAAGCTCAATAGGGGGTCCTAACAGCCATCCCTAGTTAAAAACAAGTGAGCTAGACTAAGATTTAAAGCAATACATGGTGTTAAACAGTTGAAGAAACATGTTACATTAGTCAGACTAACTGAACTAACAAGATTCTGAACATTCTGGAAACTAGCTGATGAATGTGAGTTCTCGGTCACACAATTCACAAATACACTTAGAAACTCTTATGATATTCTCCTCTCTATTCCACATACTAGGTGGATTGCTGGTCCTCTCCTGTGGGATAAGAGAAGGCAGAGAAAAACATGCATCCTCCTTGCACATCCACCTGAGGCAGTAAAAGGGTAAAAGGACTCCATGAAGGGTCAGATTGCAGGACAAGGGCTGTAGCAGTCTGACCTTGATGTAGTGGTTGATCCTTTCCACTGAGGTGAAGCGAGCTTCTGTCTCGGATGCCAGTCTGACAGTAAACTGGAACAGCCCTGTTAACTGATCAGGGAAAGCAAAAATACAAGAGAGAGTTCATTATCAGTACATGCCAGGCCAACGCTAGAAAAGCTCCTTCAGCTAGGGGACCACAACTCAATCATAAGAATGAACTGGGCACATGCAGAAGCTGATTTTAGGAAATGAGTCATTCACTGAACATGTAAGACAATGTCTACTACCACCTAATCATCTATAATTCTCAGCGAATGCAACTAGCATCATGGTACTGCCAACATTAACTTTCCGTATCCAAAGGCTTTCCATCTGTCTTTACATTTCTAGGAACACACAAGTGTAACTAAGCAACTCCTGGCTTCGTACTTGTATTTGCACCTGCTGTGGCAGCCACAACAAGTGGAGATATATATCAATCTGTGAGCAACTAGTGAGAATGCTTCTAGAAAAGTCAACTATGAGAAATAAGGCTGGGCAAAAAGTGCTTGTAGAGCCCCTGTGCACCTCAGACTGAGAATGCTGAAACACAGTATATGTGACATGTGTTTTTGCCCATCCAATAATCAAGTAAGTCTGCACAATGTGAACAGACATCTTAGTGAATCTGTGAAGATACATATCTCTTCTTGGTTCTCCTGTGACTACTTATTTATCTTTCCAACATGGAACAATGTCAGCCATATACAAGAGAAGAGAGGACAGTATAATAAACTCCCATGTGCCAAACATCCATTTAAAAAATTATCAACTCATAGACAATATTGTTGCATCTCTACACCCCACCCTTCTGTATTATTTGGAAGCAAATCCCAAATATCATTTCATCCACTAACATTCTAGCTTTTATCTCTCTAAAATATAAAATTCTTTAAAAACACAATGCCATTATCCAATACCATGATGGCATCTAAAAACATTAATAATAATTCCTTAACATCTTCAAATACCTAACCAGAGCTCAAGTTCCCAGTTTTCTCTGAGCTATTTAAAGACCTTAAACCATGCCTAGGGACCAGAGGGTAACAGTGTTGGGAAAAGCAGGACCCTGAAAATAAGATGCATATAAGAAGCATACTGAAGATATAGTATTTCTTAGAAGACTAGGAAGAGGCCAAAGATGACAGGGTGGTGAATACAGAAACCTACAATTAAGAAACTATTTTCAAAATCATGACTCATGAAGAAAATAGCACCTGTTTCTTAAACACATGCAACAGACAAATTCCCTAACTCCTGTATACCATTCCTACCTCTCTCCCGTCCCCCTGCCCCAGCTGAGTTCAGGTGGTTACCATCAAAGCAGACCAGGAGAAGCTCTAGGAGTCAAAGGTGAAACAGTGGTTTAGGGCAGAGGCCCGCACCATGCCTCCTCTAGGCCACTATATGAAGGACTCCAAGGAGCAAAGGTGATGCCCCCATCCCAGAGACTGACCTGGACAGCGTAAGAGATGGCCAGCCCTGCATAGGCTGGGGAAATCTGGCCGTGCATGAGAACGACCATCAGCCCGGTGGTGGAGATCAGGGCGATGCTGATGAGGTCCAGCCGCACGGCAAGCCACCGCATTGCGCATGTGAACAAGAAGAAAGGACTCTGGTTGTTATCCAGTAGCTCCTGGTACCTGTGAGGAACACAGAACAACTTATAGGTCACACACCCCTGGTCACAGAGGACGTCAAAGCTCCAGTAAATATGGACAGAGGGCTAATATTTAAGTACTTCCTGTTTGTCACTGGGAGAATGATATGAAAACTTAAAAGAATGCAGAGTATTCCAGGGGTTTTCTAGTCGTACGCTTTCAAAGAAACATACTAAAGATGTTAGGGAACAATATCTACTTTAACAGCATAGGGAAAGCATGAGGGGAAGGAGACCAAATCAAGAGGCTGTGCTAAACTTTAGAAAAATGTCTTAGGTCAGGGGTCATTTTCTCAAACAAAGAGAGGTGACAAAGGCAAACTGCAGAAATGGCCCAAGGCCAGGAAAAAGAAACCCTCAGACTAAATAAAGTGGAAATTGTTGACACACCACCTTGGGCAGCATGGTACCTGTTTCCCAAGGCCATAAGCAAAGAACCAGGAGCCAAACCATAGCAAAAAAGATGGAGACAACCTCTGCCACTGGAGGGGGACACTACTGTCATTAGAGAGCAGGGCAGACCCCACCTGAAGGTTCGGGCGCCACACACAGCTAGGATGCCAGGGCAGGAAGTCTTGCCCAGCAAAAGTGCTCCGCTTTAAAATTACAATCACTTTCCCTCCTTACACTAAGATATGTGCTCTTTAGAGAAAATTTAGAAAATCAATAGAGAGGAAGATGCGAAAGTCCCATAATCTTACCAGCTAAAACCAGAGTTAAAGTTCTGCGGCAATTCCTCCCAGCATTTTTTTTCAATGCGCTTACATGTATGTGTGGACGTATCATGGTATGTTTTAATTTTTTCCACTATTTTAAAGTTAGGATTATTTTTTCTGGGTTCTTTAACCTAACCTTTCTAGTCTAGATTTTCTCTTTAAAATTCATTACTTAATGTTTGGAAGAGACGATACATGCACAGGACAGAGTACTTAAAAGCTACAAAAGTTTTTACCATGAAAAGTCCGTCTTTCTCCTGCCCATCCTCCAGCTACTAGTTCCCCTCTCCAGTGGCAACTAGTAGTTTCCCGTGTATCCTTTCAGAGATACGCTAAATGTCATATGTGCAAACACACACTAGGAAGGTAGAATAGCATACACACACACACACACCTGTACCTTGCTCTTTCACTAATATATCTTGGAAACCATTCTATTACCAGTACCTACAGAGCTGCCTCATTCTTTTTAAGGGCCATATAATATTCCACTCTATGAGTATATCACAGTCTGTTTAATCAGTCCTCTACTGAAGGACATTTAAGTTAGCTCCAATCAATCTCTTGTTAATACAAATCTCCACAATGATGGTCGAGGTCAGCGGTTCTCAACCTATGAGTCGCGATCCCTTTGGAGGTCAAATGACCCTTTCACAGGGGTCGCCTAAGACCATCGGAAAACAAAAAGATATTTACATTATGATTTATAACAGTAGCAAAATTACAGTTATAGAGTAGCCACAAAAATAATTTTATGGTTGGGGGTCACCACAACATGAGGAACTGTATGTATTAAGGGGTCGCAGCATTAGGAAGGTTGAGAACCGCTGGGTCTAGGTACATAAATTTCTCATATAAACAGTACTTAACAACTAAATAAAATGCTGCTCTAATGTCAATGGCTATCTTTTACTATTCCAAAACAAAAGCAAAACTCCATCAAATCTGGCCATTCAGGACCAAAAGCCAACAGACTTACAAACCTGTGGTTTTTGTCTTCTCATTTGTTCAGAAGGAAGTTCCACTAAGCAAGTGAATTTTAATCTGAGACCAGTAAATCACTAATACCCCCTTCTGACCTTGAAAGGCCTCCTGGACTCTGATTACATTCACAGATGGTGTCTCCCCTTTGAGCCCTCTGGCACCCTCAGCACCAACCTGTGTAGAAACTCCTGTCCTTTGTTGTAGGCATGGATGGTGGGAAGGCCCTGTATGCTGGATGTGATGTGGGAGAGGAAAGGTGACTGTGTGATATTGTCCAGACGCTTCAGCTCTCGAATCAGGACCCTGGAGAGAGAACGAGTTCTGTGTCAGAGGGCAGACTAGCAACTCTGGCTCCATCCTCTGCCCTAGAAGACCTGAACCCTTCCTCTTTACCTGGACACAATGTGCAGAACTGCAAAGACGATGCCGAGGGGTCCCACTGCCACCAGGAACCATGGGAAAACTCCTGCGATCATTCCAACACAGAAGAACACCAGGATGACGTTTTGGATGAACATCTCAGCCTGGAACGGCAGGCGTACATCGACTGGGGAAACCATAAAGGAACAAGTGTCAGGCTGTGGGGATCCACAAACAGGGAACACGAAACTGAAAATTTAAAAAAAACAAAAAGAGGTTCCCCAAAATCGCTATCTGAAATTTGTGTGTTGCCTTTTAAACAATCTGAGCAAAAAAGATCTAGAAAACTGGTTGCTCTAACTTTCCTCTCCCAAGAAAATTTAACTATTCTATCTTCCTTGTACTCTCTTTTTTGGTTCAACCGCTTTTAAACATTCCCCCATATTTAGCAGGTAATATACGCTTGCTGTAAAATGTTTGGAAAATAAATATGCAAAAAAGAAAATACACATCATCTTTATTCTTATGAAAACCAACGAACTGCTGCTAACCTTTAAGAAATTTTTCATCATGGGAAGTTTTAAACATATACAAAAGTCAAAAGAGTATATAGATCCTCCAACAGTTGTCAGCATTTTCTTCATCTCCTTTTTGGCGGTCTCCTCCCCTACCTTTTTCTTTGGAAGGGAAGGGCTGAAGTATTTTCATGCAAATCCCAGACATGTTGATGGCACTGATTTTTTTCTTTCAGTCTTTTCTCCATTTGTGCGTGTGTGAGCATGTGTGTTTAGCAGAGATGGTATCATGTTGTACGTCAGTTCCGTGTATCAGTGATAGTTTTGAGCCCTTGTTACCTCTGGCCGTGGCTTTACACTGCTTATCAACATCTAAAACGAACTCCTTCTATGGAGGCAGCACTGTACAGTCAAAACATTAGCTCTGGGGTCAAAAAGCTCTGGGCTCAATTCCAGCTTTGTTATCTAAGAGCTGTGTGATCTTGGGCAAGTTACTAAACTTTTCTAGACATCAGCCTTCTCATATGTTCAGTGAGTGAAACAATACCCCCTCATAGGGCTGCCCGGAGGACTAGGATAAAGCAGGCAGAACACTCAGCACACAGTAAGCCCTCAAAAAATGCCAAGCGGCACTGGTACTATTCTGGGCCTTGAGAGCTTTTTAAGTTCTGGTGCTGGCACAGGATGTGCAGCATCCAGAAAACCTGCCAGAGGTTGTGGGTGTCCAGAAAGCAATGCTATACCCCCAAAGTAAATACAGTAAAACTTTGGATTGCGAGTAACTTGGTTTGCGAGTGTTCCGTAAGACGAGCAAACATTTCGAATACATTTTAACGTGGTAAACGAGTGATGTCTTGCAATACGAGTAGTTTGTTTCTGGAACAAATTATGCTCGCAAACCAAGATGTTACTATATATGTTTTGAAATGTCAGATGCCCCTGTCCAAAGCCTTTGTGCTAACTTAGTCCTCTGCACTTGTTTCCCCAGATCGAATGAAAACTTGGATGAAAGGAGAAATCAACCTAAATATAAGTTACAACCTGGAGAAAAATGCCAAAACTAAAATGTCCTTGGTATGAACACCAACAGCCACTGTGCTCTCAGAATCAGGCTGGACAGGTATGTGTATCTAGTGGGTCATCTAGAAGGACAGCCAGCTCTGGCTTCTGCTTCAGGGCATAAATGAAGCAGTGAGAAATACCTTCATCCATGTCTCTGGAAAACCTGTTGAGAATCCTTCCTGTGGGGGTAGTGTCAAAAAACTTCATAGGGCTTCGAAGAATCCTTCGGAAAAGCTCATCATGGAGCCGGGAGGAGGCTCGCAGCGTGCCCTAAGGAGCAGAGCGCAAAGTGATAAGGGCCCAGGGACACAGGGACTCAGGCAGGCTCAGTTCTTACTCTATAGGTCACACCTCCACAGGGCATCTATTCCCAAAACTGGAGAAGGGCGAATGGCCATGGAGGAAGGAGGTGGGAAAACAGCTAATACGAAAAGGCTGAGGCTAATGGGATACAGGTCATTTCAGCAAGGGCCATCATGATGCAGAGGAGCTGCCCTCCTCAGAATAAACCCGAGAGATGCCCTGCCGAAGCCTGGCCACCACTGCTTACCTTGACAAAGGCCACTCCTCGAACAGCTTTCAGGATCAGCATGACAGCCATGGAGAGGGCATAGACGCTGGCATAGTACTGCATGTGAGGATTGTCCTTCATGCTGCTGCTCACAGAGGTCTTGTTCCCTTGAGTCACTGTGGTGTTCTGTTTGAAGGCAAGGCTCTATGAGGCAAGACTCCTAAGAACTGCCAAGAACCCTTATTCATGGCCATTCTCAGATCAAGGGAGCACGCAGGATAACGACTCTGGGGCCTGGTGTGGCAGGTCCTTCTCTCTTTTCTAATGGACAAGGGCAGACACCCTACAGGTGTGCTCCTGATAAGCCCTACCGCCCGTGAGTTAGTCAGGGAGCAACTATCTTGTGAGGTTATGTTAGGGACTCATCTTTTCCATCCTGGGGGACCCTTGTTCATTGTGCCTTTTCATCGAAAACTAGAGCAGTTTCCTCAAGAATGGCCAGGGGATATGGAGAGATGGCCACACTCTCAGACATAATTTTCCCATTAATGAGCAAGCTTACCCCACTTCCTTCCTTGATCCAGTAACTTAACCACCAGTTGCTGAAGGCGGTACTGCCCACGTTCAGCATGAAAAGGGATATAATGACCAGGAAAGCCAAGGGGCCCCCCGCAGCCTGAATGTAGACACCATACACTGACCAGGGCACTGAACCCTGCCCCTTCTCTTCTGCTTGCACGAGCTGCCCTAGGTAAGAAAAAAAAGAAACACAAACTCAGAAGGAAAAAGCTGCTTTTCCAAAACTAAGTCCCTTATAGAAGAGCAACGTCAAAGAGAGCCTATAGTCTCACAGGGCTCTAGGTTAGAATAATTTCCTCTTTATCAGAAGCATTCATTCATCCATTTTTTTTATTTACTAAATACCTACTATGGACCAGGCCCAGGATGAGGACAGGGAGCAGTAAAGAGGATTAAGACCAGGCCCCTGCCCTTGAGATCTGGCTGAGAACCCTTCCAGAGTCTACTTGGATAGACAGGTAAATAAAACCATAATTACAATAAAATGTGTTCAATGTAATGCCAGAGCTATATGCAGGGCAGCATGGGGACATCCAGGAGGTGTATCTAACCTATTTGGGGGAGCCATGGGGTGGTTAGCAGGGAGGTTTCAGGGAAGACTTTCTGTGTAGTCCATACTACATCTCGAAGGTAAGCCAGAGTCAGCCAGGTGGGGAGACAGTGAGCAGAGGAAGTAACATGAGCACCAGCACAGAGGTGGGGCAACAGCAAGACAGAGTGCAGACAACCAAGTCAGCACGGCTGGAACAGTATGTGTGCCTGCACAGCGGTAAGGGATTGGAGGATAAAGTATCTGAACGTCATCCTTCAGACAAAAACTTCTCAAGAGTATGGCCTGCAGGTGTGTGGAGATGTGACTCCTGGCCCTATTGGGCTAAGATGGGCCTGGGATGGCCAGTCCAGTCACCTCGGGCAGTGAGCAGCCTCTTCCATGCATCATAGTATCCTACACGAATCACGGCATTATTAGAAAACACTGCTTTGAAAATGGGAGGTGGTCACTGAAAGGCTCCATGCAGGAAGGTGAGCTGGTTGGTCTCCCGTTTTCAACTGTCTCTCTCAGCTGTCTGCTCTCAGTTGGCTGCATGGAGGGCGGACAGCTGTGACGCTAGGGATGAGATGATAAAGGCCAGAACCAGGGTCATGGCAACGGGGATGGAGTTTTAGGAGGTAAATTCAGTAGGATATAGTGACTGCTGTAGGAGAAGAGAATAAAGATTCAGGGTAGCTCCTAGGGGCTCCCTGGTGTGGCCAGGTGATTGATGCTGACATGAGCATACAGAGAAAGGCCCTACAGGAAGCCTCCGCCTCTTCATCCCATATGTTTCATTGTCTTGGAACAAGCCACACAGGCCAGGGGCACTTTAATAGTTGTGAGTCTCCAGGTTAGTGGCTCCTGTAAAGAACAAATGTTCCCGAAGGATATCGTTTTTTGATTTTTACTGCCTCTGGCAGGAACTGACAAGCTATCTCAGCCTTCTGTGCCATGTTTGTTTAGTATGTATGAGTAAACTATCTTAAATCATACCTGAATTCAAAATTGCTATATGGTTTTATTAAAAGAAAGAAAAGAGGCAGGAAGTGGGAAATCGGGATGGTCAACTCCTAACACCACATATCTGCTGCAGGCTTCAGAACAAGGAAGTGGCAAACCCAGGGGAGGTCCTCGATTCAAAACCTCAGGTGAGGGAGGTGGTGACACAACAGAAAGCTTTAAAACAGGACTGCGTTCTTTCTGGGGGGCAACCTGACATGCAGCTTAAAATTCGCCAAGGTGAAAACACCTAAACTCTTGTAAATAGCTTTTCTAACTCCCAAGATTTGTTTCAGTTAAGATAAAGGGTTTAAAAAATGGTACCGAGGACTCTGGGTAAGGCAAGTCAACTAGGCAAGAACCTAGCTGTAACGCTTCGCCACAGTTCTGCAGCAGTCTCTGAGGAGCGTGCCTTCCAACAGGGGGCTACTGAGAGCACAGGCATTCTTGGAGCTGGAACACCTTTGCCTTGGCGGGGCACTGACTTGTAAAGAGTGGAGGTGAATCACAGGATGGAAAGGTATACCTCTACCACCATTCAATTTTTCCTTACTCAGGATGACTCAGCCATGACTACCTACCTACACGGGACCCGTACCTTGCACAAGAAGAAATAAGATTAAAGGCCAGTCTTATTGCCTCGGTCTGTTTAAGCAAACAGAAGGTGCCTCTTGGTCTCCCAATATCATACAAGAATTTTGTTATTCCCAGAATATAAGGCCAGATACTCTATAACAGGCCAATGTTATCAAACATCATGAAATAGCACATGGCTTAATTTCTGTTATACTTTAATGACAAAATCTAAAATCTCAAAAAAGGTCATTACCTTCCTCTGGCTTCACTGCTTTTTCCTTCTTTACTGATCCTGTTTTAGGACCTTTGTCTTGTGATTTCTTCTGTGATCCACTGGTTTCCTTTTTTGAATTAATCTAATATTAACAACAACAAAAAATGTCTCCAGTTATGATATGGCCATTCAGACAAATATCCACAGGACATACTAGAGAATCATCTATGAAGCTGCTGCTATTGTGGAAGAGAGACACATCCAACTTTACTCCCAATGAGTAAAAGGGCCCCCTACATTCTTTTCTTGTGTTTCCTCAACTTCTTCAATCTTTGAGATCTGGGTTCCTACCCGGTTATTATTCCACTGACATTAAGCTACCCAAAGTCACTAAAGACCTAACACAGTAGCCTTAATGTTGTTCTCACCCACTCCAACTTGTCCAAAGTTTTAGGGCTGGGGTTACTTCCATTCCTCCCATCTCTGACCCCCACATCATTAAATCAAATCACAGAGCTGATCATTTCTCATGGCTACCACAGGATACCCTTAAACGTCTCGGCCTATTTTGTAAGACATCTATTGTACATTCTGGCCCTAACTTAACTCTGCAAGTTCTTCTCCTAATCCTGTGGCCCTACCCTCATGCTACACTGGCTTTCCTGCCATTCAACACACCACACTGTGATTTCCCACTTCTGTACCTTTGTTCATACTGGTTCTTCACTTGGAATGCCCCTCCCCTTGTCCCAACTCAGTCACAGTTGTCCCCATTTAAACAGGTTCAAATCTTATACCCTGAGGCAACTCAGATTCCTCTAGAATAAAGCTTACCCCTCCCCGGTTCTCCCCGACCCTTTGTTAGTAGTACTGTATTACAGCATGTTACTATAAATGTGACCTGGTGTAAGAGCATAGCATACTGGTCTTCCCCAGGAGCTTGTGAGTCCCCTCAAGGATGGAGATGATGTCTCCCTCATGATTACAGCCCACACAGGGCCTGACACCCAGAACTGCCCATAACAGGGCACAAGTGGACTTAATAAACATTCATCAAATTGAAACTGAGATATTAGGAACTACTTAATGCTCTCCTTTCCAAGTTCCTCTTATATCTTTATATAGGAAATTCTCTTTATAGAGTTTATTACATTTAGCTTAATAGTCAGCCTCATGACCCCAATTTGCTCTCCAACTAGACTTTTAAAATTGACAGTAAAAAAAGTCAGAAAATAATGTAACACATCTGGAACATAAGCTAGGACCCTAAATTGCATATTTACTGCAGTACATCAATAAATGCATTGTCTAAAGAGAAAAGTACCATTTGCTGACTATTTATTAGGAGAAGAACATTACATATTATCTCATTTAATTGATGCAACAACTCTAAGAGGCAGGCGCCATTCCCATTTTTAACAGGAAGAAACTGAAGCTGAGGAAAGTTAAGTGACAAACTGAAAGTATGCTCCTCCACTAAACTCACTGATTCTCAAAGTCTTTTATTCCTTGGACATTTCATATGTTAGCTTCTCTCCCTCTCATTTTCCCTTACAGTGAGGAGGAAATAACCTGAAGAGAACTGAGAGTTATAAGGAGAGGTCATAAACCCAAATCTGGATCAGGGTATCTCTATGGAACTTACTGGTGACACTTGGAATATCTGAGTTATCTCAAAAGGCCGAAAATAATTTGGTCATGAACAGTTATACTGTACCTGAAACCACAGAGGATGACACCCAAAGACTCCCAGAAAAAGGTCCCAATAACTTTTTGCATTTATCCCTCTCATACATCAAAACAAACTAGTAGCAAAGAAGTAGCTTTTGGCCCAGCCTGAGTGCACCCCTAAGACCCAAAGTGACCACCCAAGGTTTGTACGAGAGCAGGTTGGCAAGGAGGAAAAACGGGCGCTTTGGCTAGCTCCAAGTAAGTACGCCCTTGTGTTTGCCTTACTCAAAACTCAGAGTAAAGCCATGAAAAGCTGCCATCTTTCTGTGTTGCTACAGGAGGCAGGGCAGCACAGCAGAAAGAACCCTTTGGAGTCAAAGTGCCCTTGTTAGTGTTAAAAAGAAACAACAGACCCAAAATGGA